CTCTGTCCCCCCAGGGATCAGCAGCAATGAGAGCGACCTGTACCTGTCGGCGCCACGCAAGAAACCCAAGTGCTGCCAGTGAGGGGGCAGCCCCCGGTGTGTGTCCCCCCCACGCTCACACCTCTGGACCAAAGAGGGGTGGCCCCGGCCGGCCCCGAGGAGCTGCCCCCAGCCCCCCTGGCCCCCCATTTGCCCGGGCACCCCCAGCTGGGGTGGGCAGGGGTGCCTGTGCGGCTCCCTCAGCTATGCAAACCCAGGTACCGCTTGCAGGGGGAGATGCCCCTGGGCTCCCGTTTTTCTTAATAAAACTTTTTTAATGCTTTTTAAGAAAGGTGTGAGGCTGGAGACGGCTGTGACTCCCCCTGCCCCCTGGCACAGCCCCCCCAGGCTCGCAGGCTGGTGGGAGGATGGAGCCAGGGGAGGATGGCTGCCCCCACGGAGGGGTGAGCATCTCGGGTACAGTGAAAGCCAAAGCGGGTGGGGGATGCTCCGGGTATCCCTGTCCCAAATTGCTGGTAGCCCTGCAGGAGGGCACGGTGGGGGGGGTGCCAGCCCCCCATCACTCCTGGCCGAGCTGGTGGCGGTCGAAGCGGGGCTGCAGGCTGGGGGGCACGCAGTGGGCACACTTGTAATGCTCCCGGATCCACCGCCCGCCCTCGCTGCCCTCGATGCAGATGGCGGCCACACCTGAGGGACAAGGTGGGGGGCTCAGTGCAACCACTGTGGGGTACAGGGACAATGCTCCCAGGGTGCCCCAGTAACACCCACCCCCCCTCTCCTACCTGCCACGACTCCCCCCAGCTGCTCCACCAGCTGGATGGCCGCTCGCATGGTGCCCCCGGTTTCCACCCACTGGTCCACGAGGAGGATGCGCAGACCTGGGAAGGGGCAGAGGCTGTGGCCCAGTGCCCGGTGCCCGCACTGTTATAGAATCATCCAGGTTGGAAGAGACCCTTGGGATCATCGAGTCCAACCATCAACCCCACCCTACAAAGTTCTCCCCTACACCATATCCCCCCAACACCGCATCTAAACAACAAACTCATCCAAGGATGGTGACTCCACCACCTCCCTGGGCAGCCTATTCCAGTCTCTGACCACTCTTTCTGTGAAGAACTTCTTCCTAACGTCCAGTCTAAACCTACCCTGGGGCAGCTTGAATCCATTCCTTCCTGTTCTATCGCTAATTACCTGTGAGAAGAGACCAGCACCAACCTCTCTACAATGTCTTTTCAAGTGATTTTAGAGAGTGATGAGGTCACCCCTCAGTCTCCTCTTCCTCGAACTAAACAGCCCCAGCTCCCCCAGTCGTTCTTCATATGATTTGTTCTCCAGGCCCTTCACCAGCTTCGTTGCCCTCCTCTGCCCCTGCCCCTTGAGATCTCTCTTGGATTGAGGTGCCCAAAACTGGACACAACACTCCAGGTGGGACCTCCCCAGTGCTGAGCACAGGGGGACAACCACCTCCCGCCTTCTGCTGGTCACACTATTTCTAATACAAGCCAGGCTGCCATTGGCTTTCTTGGCCACCTGGGCACACTGCTGTCAATCCCCCCTTCCACACACACACCTTGCTGGGAGCACCCCCACCCTCTCACCCGGCGAGATGGCGTCAGTGCGGACCTCCATCACCTTCTCCCGGCCCGAGTAGTCGGTGTAGGGCTGTGACACCGTCTGCACACAGAGGTGCCCAGCTTTACGGATGGCCAGGAAGCCCTTCTGCAGCACGGCGGCGGCGGCGGCGCCTGGGGGTGGGCACGGTGCCGTCAGCCACCAACAGGGACGAGGGATGGGGACCCTGGGCTCACCCACGTCCCACCCTCACCCAGGATGAAGCCCATGGCGTCGATACCGGCCACCATGTCGATGGGGTCTCCCTGGAAGGGCTGCAGCAGGTCGGCCACGCAGTCCTGCAAGCCCTGGGGAGAGAGCGGAGGTGCTGGGTGCCCATCACGGGCACCTGCAGCCCACATGGCAGTGCCCACGGGCATGGGCCGAGTGCCCTGACAGCCCCGTGGAGCTGCAGCCCACCCGGGCACCCCCATAAGTGCCCTCCACCCTGGGTGGTGTGTACTTGCGGGTGGCAGTAGAGCCGGGAGGGGTCCAGCCAGGCGTAGTTGGGACCCTTGACGTTGGGGGCCATCAGCGCCAGGTACCAGCCCTTCTCTCGGGTGGGGGGGACGTGGCACAAGTCCATGCGCGGGCGCTGCGAGCACCGACCATGTAACGGGGGTGAGATTCCCCACCCACAGTCCCCCGTAGGGCTCCCTGTGGCTCGCTGACCCCCACCCTCCCCATCCACACCCCGACATGGGCACCCTGGGGTCCTAAATGTGGCCTGGGTGGGCTCCGTCCGTACCTGGGTGCTGGTGGCGAGGCTGAGCCCGGCGGGACCGTCACGGGGAGCTTCACAGACAGCAACAGCTGAGAAGGGGCAGCCCCCACAGCGCTGGGTCCCTGCCAGCCCCCTCGGCCAGCCGGGCCCTGGGCCAGTGCCAGGCAGGGCTGGCAACATGCCCCCACCGGGCTCTGCTGTCCCCGCCAGGCAGTTGCGTAGTGGGGACCATCAGGGTTGGGGTGTCCCCAGCCACCTGCACCGGTGACACCAGGGTGATGCTCAGGATGCAGCCCCATGGCCTCCGGGGTCTTGGGCAGCAGGAGGAACTTCTGAGGCCACGGATGTCCCCCTTGGGGGTGTCCAGGCACTGTCCTGCCCCCCTGAACACTGGTTCCCTTGGCCGCCCAGTGAAGCAGAGCCGTGCCCAGGTTGCCAATGGGCTCCATGGCCGGGGAGGCAGCCAAGGGGGATGAGTCCTGGCAGCCACACTGGGAGCTGCGGGGAGACTGTGGGCTGCCAGCCCTGGCTGGGCATGGGGCACCATGGCTGCCCCTGTGAAAGGCACCGTGGGGCATCCGTGGGGCCACAGGGACCATCCATGGGACGGGATGTGGGACTACAGGGAGCATCTGTGGGATGGGATGTGGAGTTGCAGGGAGCATCCATCCATGGGATGGGGGGGGATTGCAAGGAGCATCCATGGGACGGGACAGGGCCAGAGGGCGCATCTGTGGGATGGCAGGGAGCTTATGTGGGGGGGGCCATGGGGCTGCACGGAGCAGCCGTGGGACGGGATGTGGGGCAGCGGGGAGGATCTGTGGGATGGGATGTGGAGTTGCAGGGAGGAGCATCCATCCATGGGATGGGGTGGGATTGCAAGGAGCATCCGTGGGACGGGACAGGGCCAGAGGGAGCATCTGTGGGATGGCAGGGAGCTTATGTGGGGTGGGCCATGGGGCTGCACGGAGCATCCGTGGGACGGGATGTGGGGCAGCAGGGAGGATCTGTGGGATGGGATGTGGAGTTGCAGGGAGCATCCATCCATGGGATGGGACGTGGGGTTGCAAGGAGCATCCGTGGGATGGGACATGGGGCCAGAGGGAGCATCCGTGGGATGGGGACACGGGATGGCAGGGAGCGTATGTGGGGTGGGCCATGGGGCTGCAGGGAGCATCCCTGGGCCGGGATGTGGGGCAGCGGGGAGGATCTGTGGGATGGGATGTGGAGTTGCAGGGAGGAGCATCCATCCATGGGATGGGGTGGGATTGCAAGGAGCATCCATGGGACGGGACAGGGCCAGAGGGAGCATCCGTGGGATGGGGACGCGGGATGGCAGGGAGCGTATGTGGGGGGGGCCATGGGGCTGCACGGAGCATCCGTGGGACGGGATGTGGAGTTGCAGGGAGCATCCATCCATGGGATGGAACGTGGGGTTGCAAGGAGCATCTGTGGGATGGGACACGGGGCCAGAGGGAGCATCCGTGGGATGGGACACGAGGTCACAGGGAGCATCCGTGGGATGGGGACATGGGATGGCAGGGAGCATCCGTGGGACGGGACACGGGGCCAGAGGGAGCATCCTTCTCCCGTCGGGGGCCGCTCCGGGGCCGGATCCTTGGGGGGGCCGGCACGTCACGGGGCGGGCACGTTGGGGCCGGCACGTTACCGGCCCCGGCACATCACCCCACCGGCTGCCACAGCAACGGGGCCCGGCCCCACCGGGAGGGGTAACCCCTTCCCCGCGGGCTGCGGGGCCCGGGGATGAGCCGCGGCTCCGGGGAGCGGTTCCAAGCACCCCGGCTCTGCGGGGACCCCCCGCACGGTGCCGTGCCGTGGCGAGCCCCCCCGCCCGGGCGGGATGTGCGGGGCTATAAGGCGGCCCCACGGCGGCGGGCGGTGCGGTGCCATGTGCGCCCCGGGGCTGCTCTGCCGCCTCCTCCTCCTCCTCCTCCTGCCGCTGGCAGCCGCCCCCGGACCGGCCCCCGGTACCGGAGCGGCCCCGCCGGGACGGCCCCGCGCCCGCCGTGGGCTCACCTACCCCGGGACGCTGTGGTGCGGCGCGGGCACCAACGCGGATGCCTACGAGCAGCTGGGTAAGGGCGCTGGGGCCGCTGCTACCTGTCCCCCCCATCCTAACCCTTCCCATCCCATCTCTTCCCATCCCTTCCTTTCCCATCCCTTCCTACCTCTTCCCTTCCCTTCTCCCTTCCCTTTTCCCTTCCCTTCCCTTCCCTTCCCTTCCCTTCCCTTCCCTTCCCTTCCCTTCCCTTCCCTTCCCTTCCCTTCCCTTCCCTTCCCTTCCCTTCCCTTCCCTTCCCTTCCCTTCCCTTCCCTTCCCTTCCCTTCCCTTCCCTTCCCTTCCCTTCCCTTCCCTTCCCTTCCCTTCCCTTCCCTTCCCTTCCCTTCCCTTCCCTTCCCTTTTCCCTTCCCATCCTTTCCCATCCCTTTCTTTCCCATCCCTTCCTACCTCTTCCCTTCCCTTCTCCCTTCCCTTTTCCCTTCCCATCCTTTCCCATCCCTTTCTTTCCCATCCCTTCCTACCCCTTCCCTTCCTTTTTCCCTTCCCTTCCCTTTTTCCCCATCCCAGTGCTGGGTCAGTCCCCACCAACCCTAGTCCCGTCCCACCCCAGTCCCAATCCACCCCAATCCCCATGGCTAGTTCAGTCCCCATCGGTCCCCACCCCAGTGTCGGTCCAGTTGCTGTCCACCAGTTCACCTCTGTCTGTTCCCCACCCCGGGGCTGGTCCACCCTGGTCCCACCACTGGTCCCACACTGGTGCTGGTTCAGTCCTGATTCACTCCATCCCCAGCCTGGTCCCTGGTCCATCCTGCTCCCATTCTGCTCCCAATCCCAACTGATTCCACTCCTGGTCCCTCTCCTGATCCCAGCCTAGTCCATCTCTTGGTCCTGTTCCGGTCCTGTTCCCCATCTTGACCCCAGCCTAGTACCATTCTCCTCCCCACTGTGGTGCTGGTGCAGCCCCAGTCTCCATCCCAGTCCAGTTCTGGGCTCCCCAGTTCAAGAGGGACGGGGAAGTACTGGAAAGAGCTGGAGAGAATCCAGCATAGGGCAACTAAGATGATTAAGGGATTGGGGCACCTCCCTTATGAGGAAAGACTCAAAGAGCTGGGGCTCTTTAGCCTGGAGAAGACTGAGGGGAGACTTTATCTACATTTTCAAGTTCCTAAAGGGTGGGTTGAAGGAGGATGGGGCCAGACTCTTTTCAGTGGTTTCCAGCGATAGGATGAGGGTCAACAGGCACAAGCTGGACCATGGGAAGTTCTACTCAAATATGGGGAAGAACTTCTTTGGGGTGAGGGTGGCAGAGCCCTGGAAGAGGCTGCCCAGGGAGGGTGTGCAGTCCCCTTCTCTGGAGATCTTCAAGCCCCACCTGGATGCAGCCCTGAGTGATGTGCTCTGGGCAACCCTGCTTTGGCCGGGGAGTTGGGCTGGATGGTCTCTAGAGGTCCCTTCCAACTCTGTCAAATCCATGAATCCATGAATCCCAAGTGCCCCGTGCCTTCCCTGCAGGGGAACACCGGGACACGGACCGCTGCTGCCGGGACCATGACCACTGCCAGCACGTCATCCACCCCTTCACCGCCCGCTACGGCTACCGCAACCTGCGCTGGCACACCATCAGCCACTGCGACTGCGACCGCAGGTGAGCAGCCCCTGGCAGCATCCCTCCATCCCCTGGGGAGGGGGTGCTCCCAGCCCCCCTGGATCCCCCCCCCACCTCACCCCATCTGCGCCCCACGGCAGGTTGAAGGAGTGCCTGCGGCGGGTGAACGACACGGCCTCGCGGGTGGTGGGACAGGCCTTCTTCAACGTCATCCAGGTGCCCTGCTTCGAGTTCACCTACAAGGAGGAGTGTGTGGAGCCCTACCTCTACGTCTGGTGAGTGTCCCCCCCCAACAATGGGGGGACCAGCCTGTCCCCCCAGGGGTCACCTCACCCCGTGCCTCCTCCCTCTCTCACAGGTGCAAGGCGTACAACACGGTGGCCATCGCGGTGCCCAGGGAGCCGGTGCTCTATGAGTTTGGGGGGGAGCTGATCGATCGGGCAGCGAGGCCTGGGGGGGTCCCCCTGATCCCCCCGTGGAGCAGCGAGACGGGTGGAGGAGCCATCCTGGTGGAGCATCACACTCCTGCCCGCCCCAAGGCAGCCAAGAAAGAAAGGAAGGGGAAGAAGAAAGACAAGAAAAAGAAGGGGAAAGGTCTGAAAAAGAAAGGCTTCTCAGAAAATGGGGAGATGAGTCGTCCTGTGGGGCAGAACCCCCCACTGGCAGACGTGGGGGAAGTGGCCAACGCCATCCTGAGCGATGCCCCGGTGCAGGAGGGCTTGGGCAAGGAGCCAGCCCCAGTCCCTCCATCCCCGGTCCCCACCACCAGTGGGAAGAGGAGGAGGAAGGAGAGGAACAGAAAGAAGAGGCTGAAAAGCCAAGCTGAGGCAGAGCCTGGAGAGCCCCGGCCCTGATTCCCCCCGCGCGGGTCTCGGTTGTAATAAAGTTGGTCACTGGAGCAGATGGTGCAGCCTCATCCCATCTCCGTGGGGAGGAGGGATCGCACCGGGGGCGGCTTCCAGGAGAAATCCCAGGGGCTGATCCCACTCGCAGGGCTGTGGGAGGGGAAACACTCAGGGGTGGGTGGGTATTGAGTAGGTTTGAGCTGTTCCTCACAGCTCCCACCGGGTCCCGTCACCTTCCTGGGCACTGGGGAGGGTGACCCACTGCTCTGGGTGGGGACACAGCTCCTGTCCCCACACCAGCACAGGACACAGCCCTGGTTTTAGCTCCAGATGGTTGTGCTCCAGCTCCCCAGGGGTGCATTTCTCTGGAGGAAGAGTGAATGAATTGGACCATCACACCAGCACTGACTCCTTCCCCTGCAATGGCAGCAGGGGCTGCTCAGGGAGGAGAGGGGACCTTCTCCCTCCCTGGAGGCTCCTCAAATGCCTCAAAGAGCTCTTTGGAGTGGGACAGGAGAAGCTTTGCCAGCCCTAGGACAAAGGCAGATGCTTCGTGTCCCTGCCCGGTGGTGGGTGATCACAGCCTGACTCTTTATGTAGTTTAGACTACAAGTTTAAGACTTGTAAACTTAGGAGTTTACAAGTCTTAAACTCTTGTAGTGAAGAGTTTAAGAGCAGTGCCCAGAGGCAGGGCATGGCCACCAACTTCTGAGGGATGAGCGTGGCTCAGCACAGTGTCCCCTCTCCCACCCAGTGAGGACAACAGAAAGATCTTCTTGCACCAGCACCAAATTCCACAAGGAAAAAGCAATGGGAGTTGAGAGCTGTCCCCTGTTTTGCCACAACAGAGTCTTGGGAGATCAGAGACCACCAAAGAGCAAAGCTGCTCCCTGCAAACCCTATTCTTCTCAGAGAAATGCGTGGTGCAATCCCAAATCCCTGAAATTAGCCGACCACGAGAACCCAGGGGGGGAACACCAAGGTTGTACGAGGCATCGCACCCCCTCAGGCACTGCTCAAGGGTGCAAAGTCCTCGTGGCCACCGCAGCGTCCACCGCAGGAAGCAGAGACACGTGGCATGCGGGCAGCTTCCCAAAAGTAGAATTTTTATTGACAGTAAGGGAAAACTAAAAACAAAGACAGCCAAAAAGGAGCTCGACAACACACAACTCGCCCCTCCCCGTAGGGGTCCGACACATCCCTGGTAAGGAGCCGCTCCCAGGCAAATTCCCATCGTACAGAGTTTCTTAAAATAAAAAAATAGCATAAGGTTAGTACAACCTGCAACCTATGGCAGCCGCAGGCCCCAGAGCACGGTTCTCCAGCAGAGCCTGCCCCATCCCAGGGGGGGAACAGGACAGTGTCAGCCCCCCAAGTACTGCTGGAAAGCCAGGACCCGCATTTCTCTGTGGAAACAGCTTTGCTTTGTCTCCCCCGGGTTGCTGCCATTCTTCAGGAGCATTTACATGCGAAAAAGAGCTTTGTTTCTTAAAGATCTGCTGTTCTTGCTCATTTCCTAGCGGGAGGAGGGTAAACCAGGAGCCCTCAGGAAGGAACAAAGACTCTTGCTTCCATAGAAAATCCCTACTAACAAAGCAGGAGAGAGGAAAGTGTGTGCAGCAGGAACTTTCCAGTTCAGAAATGGCTCTCAGCGCTGGCAGTGGCTCTGCAATACTGCAGTGGGATGCTTTTGGCGAGACCAAAGTTATCTGCCCCCCCCCCCCCCCTCCCCGCGCCCC